TTATATGGTAGAGAATTTAATATTTAAAAATCCTAAAGAATTTCTTAAATATTTAAAGACAATTGTAATATAATTTGAGTAATATTTGAAATCTTTAGGAATATCATTCTCGAATACATTATTTGGATAAAAATATTTTAGATGTAAAAGTTGGAATACTGGATCTAAAAATTAATTACAAATCGTATTAGATAATTAAGATCAATAAAATATTTAAGTTTGTTTATAGAATTGTTTTGAAACATTTGGACCAAATAAAACTAAAATTAAAGCTAAAGGATTAACAACACTTCCCTATTCATCAATATAAAGAGAATTCTCTGTTATGTTTGATAAATTATAATCTGAAGAGAAAATTGTAATATTTTAATAACTCTTATATTCATTCAATTTAAATGTGTTTGATAAAGCTTGTGAATAAAGTCAAGAATAATTTGATAAAAATCCAATCATATAGAATTCTTATGATTGTGGTTCATATAAAAGGTATTATTAATTTATAAATAAATTAGAATGATATTATATGATAATTCTAAAATATCTGTAGTTACTATTTCAGTTATTGGTGCAAATAGAAGGATGTGTGGAGTCAAATTCTCTGTTTTCAATATAGAGACAACATAAGAAATTGGTGTTTATTTACCAACATCTTAAGGTGAATGGGATTTGAGATCTTTAGACAAATAAAAGATTAAATCTTCTGTAGAAAATGTTCCTTTTGCAGAATTTTTCCTTACATAGATTCTTCGATGTCCAATTACTACATAAGTAAATATATTATTTATATGTTAGATTTTATTTAAGAAAATATTGAAAGCAGATAGTAAAAACAATTAAATTAATAGTAATGAAATAAAAAATCGTAAAGCATTCATAGAAAGAATAGATAATCTTATTACTTGGTAAGAAGTATTGGCTGCTGCTTAAAATTGATTTTGTTACAATACTTTTGAGTTTTTATAATTTTATTTGATGTAAATGATTAATTTATAAAGTTCTATTAATTGAATATTAATAAAATATTAAAGTTAATAAAAAATTATAAGTTAATTAATATCTAAATGTAGAAATAGAATTAAATGTTCATTTTTATAAGATTATCTTATTAACTTTTTCTTCTTGTAATCTATAGTATTTAGTTTTCTAATAAACATCATTCTCTAGATAATATTTATATAAATCAGATAGGGGAGCATTATTATTAAGCACAAGTTTCTTAGCTTTAATAAAGTCTTTAAATTAAAGATATTCATCAAATTCTTATTTTAGACTTGCATTATATTAAGTTTATTAAGGAGTTATAGAATATTGAAGTGGTTGGCATCGATAATTTGTAATTTATTTTTATTATTATGGATATTATATGTTATCCTTTCCAATAAATGAATTATATTAAGAATTAGGAAGTTAAGTTTCAAGTTGACTATTATTTAAATTTGATTCTTATTATTTTTAATGATTCATTAATGAGGGAGTGAATTAATTTAGTGATTCAAGCATTTAATCTAATTTTAAATTGATTTTTTAGATTTCAGGTCTTGTATACTCTTAAATTTTAATTTATTATTGATTATTTGATGGTAATATTGTTCTAGATTAATAAGTAGAATATGTTTAGTATTATTAAAATGAATTTAGGTTGTTGTCTTTCATTGATTAAATAAAATAATATTTTTATATTATAGTATTTTATCATAAATAATTAATATTATTTAATTAATAAATAAATCTGAATGCTATTAATTATATTAATTGTACTAAGTTGTATAGTGGCAAGAGATCCTGATTTAATTGAAATTGAGATAGCTTAATTAGAGCATTTAATATAATTGTAGACTGAAAAATTAAATTATTTAAAGGAATTGAGAGATATTACAATAAATAATTAATAAAATATTCCTGTATTGAATGATTAATATAGGATTAGTAAATAGATTAATAAGTACTCTAAGACATTGTATAAAAGAAACCTTAAAAGATTTAGAATAATGGAAAACAGAGTTTAAATAAAGAGAGATCATTTACAAATAGAATGTTAAAGAAATATTAATTTAATATCACAAATTCCATTTTAGATGCATCATTGATTTAAACGTAATTGTATATTTATATATTTATAGTTTCTAATACAAATCCACAATAACTGATAATTCATTTACTTAAATGTTATATGTTATTACAAACAATAAGTAAATTGAGATTTATGATTTATCTAATTCAATGATTGTAAATACTTAATTAGGTATTTAATTATATAATATTAGAATTCTAACCTTAATATGTATCAATTAGTAATCGTGCAGATGATCCAATATTAGCTTTGGCAAGTATTTATTAAACTTACAAATTTTTAGATAAAGATGGACAATTTGTATTATATAAAATAGAGAATTCAAGAATCCCAATTGAAACAGAAGATTCATAAAAGCCCAAAACTAAATTAGTGATTTAATTGAATAAAGAATTTGAAATGAATATTGAAAATCAGTAAATCACATCTATGATATATGCAATGGTTAAAGGAACTAAATATATATTATTTGGTTCAAGTAGTGGAAGTGTTTAGTAAATAATTATAAATAATAAAAGTGTATACACTCGTAATGGAACATTAATAGGTGAGAGGAATTTTAATAGTCCCATTTTACAAGTAATAAAATCATATCCAAATATGTTATATTTAACATCTAGTGGATTTGGATATATCAATCCTATCAACTTGGAAATAGTATAACCAATTTGTGACAATGTAAAAATATATTTTATAACATTTACTAGTTACCATTTTAAATAGTTCATTTGACATTAGATATACAATAAACAAATATTGTTTATGTTCTATCTGATTTAGGTGAAGTATATGTATTTGAAATAAAATAAAATGAGTAATGCAAAATGAAATTGAAATTAATGAATAATCAATAATCTTAAGTGTTATTTAATAATGCTAAATTATTTAGTTTAAGACATTATCTAATAGTTTATGATTAAAATACAAGAGAATCATTATTATATAATACTACAGATGTTTTGACTGAAGTTGATTATGATCAACCTTTTAATATTGAATTCTTTAAATAAATTAAAGGTTAATAAGTTGTATTATAATCTATTAAAGGAAATGGTGCATCTCATTATTTATTAACTAGAGAAATATAAGATGATCATGAATTGATTAGTTATTATGAAATAACAATGCCTTAAAAAAAAGATACTGATATATTCTCAAATTTTAGATTCCCTATTATTATTATAGCAATCGTTATTGTGCTTTTATATTAATTCTGGTTTAAAGGTAAATCAAAGGATAAAAGAGAGAAAGGATCCAAAAAGAAAATAAGAGGTGAAGATGAAGAGATTGAATAAATATTAAATTAAGCAAAGAAACCTTTGACAGGATCTATAGGATCTACTTCCACTATTAATAATAGATCTCCAACAAGATCAGAAGTATAGAATGGATAAAAATAAGTGAGATTTGATGAAAATTTAAAGAGAGCTGATAAATTTAAGGAATAACTTGATAATTTAGATTAAAAAACTAAATTACTTAATGAGAAAGTAGGAGTAACAAATAATATTGAAGCATAAAGATAAAGTAATTATATATATATATATTATTATTATTAGAATTGGCATAATAAGCATTACTGTAGAAAAATAAATATGTATGATAAATCATAAAAATAATATAAATCATTCTTACTGTTTTTAATCATTATTATTATTGTATAATGTATCATAATATTATTGAAGTTATTTCATAAATCCTGTATTTGGTTAAGCAATTTATCTTTTAGTTTTAACTAATTCCAAAGCATCATTAACAGTCATTTTATGATTTTTAATCAAATAGGCAATTATGAATGTAGTTGATCTTGATTTTCCAGCAAAACTATATATTTAACATAAATACCAATGTACAAGTATATTTTATTAAGAATTAAGAGCATTTTCTATGAATTAATTAGATTCTTCAAATTTTGATTTAATGTCTTGATCAACACTATCATTAATATTAATGATTAGAGATGTAAAATCTTAAGAAAATGGTGCTTTTGGCATTTCACAAGCTGATAGAATAAATTTAATATTTTCTATCAATACTATCTTTCAGATTTACATTCCAATAGTTTTTTTTTATTTAATGCACATCCTAAACATCCTAAATAAAGATTAGGAATTATTTCAATAGGTATACTATCTTCTTTTAATTATCTCATTATTAAAAGAATCTTAATTTTGTCCATTAAATTCTACACTTAAATATTATGTGTATTTTCATTATCCTTTTTCCCTTATGTTTCCTCTCCTTATTACATAAATTTATATAAATAAATAATTTATGGAAAACTTTGATCAAAATTTTAAAACAGATGATAGAAATTTGCAACTTTCCTAGTTAGTTTTATAATAAAAAAGAGAAAAAATCATTTTACAAAAAAAAATATAAGGTTTAGAGAAATAAAATAAGTAATTATAAAATTTGATTAGAATTTTGTCTGAACAGATGGAATCCTATAAAAATGAAAAAGAAGAATAGTCTACTTAAATAACATAACTTAAAGAATACATAGCTAAATAAGATTCTGTGACAAATAAATTAAATGAATTAATGTAACTAATTTATTATAATGAAGTAAAAAGTTATTATAAAGAGATGATGAAAATTAATAATATGATAATTCATTAATTGCTTCTAAAACTGAAGCAAAATCTAGTAAATATGATAATTAAGAAAAAAAAAAAAAAGATAAATAGTAATCATATTAATAATATTATAGATATTTAGAAGAATAATAAAAATTGGATCTCAATGAACAAATTATTGCATAATATAAAAAATATTCTCTTAAAGATTAATCAATATCAAGTAAACTTCCTCCAATTGAAGATACAAAGAATAAACCTGTTATTGTATAAGTACCAAAAAGTTAATTAAAGAAAATTAATCCATAATTTTTAATTGAATAAATGCAAAAAGAATGAAAATAAATTAATCAATCTATTTTTTGTTAATTGTTTCTATAAAACTAAAACATTTCTTCTTCTATTGGATGTAATTCCTTTGCACAAATTACAAATGAATGTAAAGGTGCTCCCATATCTATTTCTAAAAACTCATGCAAAAATCCAGAAATAATCTCATTATATAATTAATATTTACTTTTTAACTCTCAAATCCAACTCTAGCTACACCAAAACATTTAGTCTTTTCATCTATTGCATTTAAACCTAATTATTTATCAGATTCTATTATTTATTCAACTGCTATTTGAGTGCTCATAAATCTAGGAGCTTCATATATTTTTTTTCCTCTAGCTAAATTTTCTTCTGAAATTTCTTTTACTTTTATATCTAGAAGAACTAAAGTATGTAAATTATGATCTAAATTAGCCTTAATTTTTGGATAAAAACTATAAGGCCTCCATTTTTCAGTAAAAAATGGTACAGATACTGTTTCCCCAAATCTATAAACTTATAAACCAGTGCAACCAATAGCATTAATAATTGAAGCATTATGAATCACTTCTACTTTTATTCCTAATTTTATTGCTCTTAAAAATAGATCTGTATGTGTAGTAGCACAAAATGGATCTCCAACAACTAAAAATGCATAATTATTTTAAGGATCTGTAGAAACATTTTCAAGTATTCTATCTATTCCAGTTTCACAACATTCTCTATCTGCTTCAATTACTTCTTTTCCATAAAAATCTTATAGTTTTTATTTATTGATTCCAAGAATTGATGTATAACTTTCTAAATAGATTTCTTTGCATGTTTTTACAGCCTTATTTATACTTATACTATACCTCAAGTCCTTTGATTGTAATATCTTAATGATCACCAAGTCCTAAACCAATTATATAAAAAACCATTAATTAATATTTATACAAAAATATTTTATTTTAATATAAATCAATATTATTATTATCTTCTTAAATTACTTTACTATATTGAAGTTGTTTTTTCTGTTGTGGTTATAATTTTCTATTTTTTTAATGAATCTAATTCTGCTTAAGCCATCATACATTATTCTTAAGCAGTATGATAATCTTAATTTGCTTTCATAAATTTATCTTTCCATATATTTGCTTCATTTGAATAATATTTTAATTTTTCAGTTGTTTATTAGAATTCATTCATTTCAGATTCTAATTATCTTATCATTTATTTATATTATGCAATTTCTTATTCTTTATTTCTAATATAATATATATATATATTTATACTAAATGACTCTATTTTAATTTTACATTTCCATTATTTATTAATTTAAAACACCTTCTAATTTTAATAATTATCTTTCTTTATCTGCTAATGCATCTCTTAATTATCTTACTTCATCTCCTCCTTATAACAATTACTAATATTCTAATTACAATTTTTAATATCTTTATCTCCATGAATCTATTTCACTTTATTAATTTTATATTTCTTTTCTTAATCCATCTTCAATATCTTTCATCATCTTTATTTTTGCTTCCAATTCTCTAACTTAAAATTCTTCATTAGAAGTGACTTTTAATTCTTAACCCTAATTTTTATATCTTGCCAATTCAGTCTATAAATCATAAATCTTAACTTCTAATTCTACACATTTCTTTTTCCAAGGCTCTTCAACATCCTCAACTGAAAGTACTTACATTTCTCTTTCCACATGATATAATTCATTAATTTCTGGTTATTAAGGAGGTGGAGTAGCTAATTGTTATGATTAAACTTATTAAGGTGATCTTTATTAATATTAATACTAAGGTATTTTATATTCATGTGTATGATGCCTATATTATATTCATTTATTTACATATGATGTGTTTAAATTGTTTTAACTTATTGATTTTGAATATATTAATTCTGAATTCCTTATTAAGTATAAATAGTTTGTCCTGTAGGAACTTTAATTGGTGATTAATAAGGTTGATAAGGTGGTATTTGAATACCACTTTATCCTAATACAACAGATTAAACAGGAACACTAGTTATTGGTTACGGATACATTTTTAATATTAATTTAATAATTCACTTTCAAATTAGTATTCTAAATGAAATATATCACTTATATAACAATTTTCCTTTTTTAATAATCATTCTGTCTTTTGTTGAAAAACTTCTCTTTTTATCTATTTAATGTAATATATCTTAATATTCAGTTTATATTGTAGTAGGTTCCAATAATTATCCAATATGAGAACTCGGAAATAATTTCTAATGTAAAGTTTGTAATAATCTATCATTCATTAATACTAATTCTAATATTTTAAATTTATCCTCTTTTCTAAAAACATTAAAATCTGATAATTTATTTTCAACTTGAACATTTTAACGACGACGCATAATATCTTTACGTACTTACTTTTTTATTTAGTATTCAATACCTCAACACATTCAATAAAAAATTCCTCATATTCACTTCTTGTTGCAAATGCTTTTGTAGATTAAGAAATTGCTTAATTCATTTTTTATCTTAATAATTGTATCTATTTTGTTTAATTATTTTCAATAAATGTAACATACAAAGCAATTTCATTTATTATTTAATTTTAATCTTCATGTGTTATTCTCTCAAATATATCTTATAATTATTTTATATGTTTTGGTTATGCTTAACCTGACATAATCCTTTTAGGTCTTGGTTAAGTGCAAAATAATTATTATTCTTTAATCTATTCTGCTTATTCTGTAACAACACTTGTTGTATGTCTTATAACTTCATATTTCTTATTTTTTCTCATTAATTATTTTATTTATTCTTCAAGGAATTCATTTTCTTTTTAAACTTCTTATAATCTAAATTTCAATTCAAATATATCTTTATTTTTTACTTCAATTTTATTATAAAGTTTAACACTTTCCTCTCTAAACCATTCTAATTATTATTCCATATTTTGAATGCGTTTATTATCTTTATAATATTTCTCCATCTCTATACTTTTCTCTTTTAAATATTTCAAATCTTCTTTCACTTATCTCATATAACCATTATATGCTATTACAAATTCAGAAAGTGCTTTCTCTTTTACCATAGTTACTTTAGATTCTAACATATCTAAATAATTTTCCACTTGATTTTTTAAATCATTAATTCTAGTTATTTTATGTGGAGATGATGGTTAAGATTATATATCTTCATAATTCTTACCTGAAATATAAGATTTATGAGAATTTCTAATTGCAAAACTATCACTATCAAACATAAATTAATTAATGAATAAGTAGTTAAAAGATAAAGAAAACAAACTTTTTATTGATAATGCCAGATTTAAAAGAATAGGAACAACTGATAGAACTTCATCACCTATTAATCTAATATTGACTAAAATGAGATAATAATAATCTCCACATTTATCTGCTAGAACTCCTAAAGATTGTTAAAGTAGAATATCAAATGAATGTGAATAATAGTTATAATCTAATAGTATATTAGAAATGGAAGAAAGAAAACGAAAAATTAGAAAATTTAAGTAATGTTTAACTGAAAATATTGAAAAATTAAAAGAATTAGATTCTATAAGTTAACAAATTTTATCTTTTGAGGGTTGTCTTCATTCAATTCTAAAGAAAATTAAATTATTAAAGTATAAGATTTATTCTATTATTATTAAAGTGAAATATCAGAATAATTTAAGTTGCAATAAATAAATCAAAAAAATAATATTCTTTAATTAAATGGATCAATAAAATAAATGACAGAAGATATTCAATTAAATGAGATTAATGTTATTAAGTAAATATAATTAAAACCATTTAATAATATAATTTCTCATTATATAAATAAATGTGAAGGAAATTTGGATAAAATTGAGAATATGATCAATTAAGCAAAATAATAACTAGAATTTAAAGAATTGTGTAGATAAATTGAACAAAAATTATTGACCTTAAGAAATTAATCTCCTCATTTTAAGGAGGTGTGAATATTAATTGTAATCATTCTGATTATTCTTTGTTTATTTAAAACAGAAATTTCTCAGGAATTAACCATCCAGTTACTAATGGTAAACCTTACTATTAATAAATTAATAAATCTTACTTTCATTTATTCACAAATTAATTTAAATTGTGCCAAAGCTATTTAAACTTCATATTTCTAATCTTATTATTATTATTATTATTATTATGATTATTATTATTACTATTAAGCAATTGCTTATAATGAAATACGAGCAGCTTTATTAGGATAATCAATTTAAACAGTGAATGTCAAATTTCCTTTAATAGTCTATTCTTCTAATTTAATTTCAGGACTAGTTGATAATTAATCACATAAATCTAAAATATAACCACAATTTTCATAACTAATTGGGAAATTTAAAGATTCTTTATTATTAACCTAAAATTTTACATTTTGTTAAATACTTCTTTTCCTATTTCTGCTATTGGTTAAAATCTCCATAAATAAATATAATTTCTTGTATATTTCATCTTTACAACAACAGAACCTTATTTAGTCACTTAATATTGAGGCTACATTATATTTAATCTTACATAACAAGGCATGAGTGAAACAATTGCTCCTTTTCCTTTGATTTTACTTATTTGATCATAGTGATTTATCACATCAAAAGTGTAAGAATAATTAGTCGATGCTGCTTTCATACCTGGCTTCCCTTAAGTTTGTTTATTCAAACTACAGAAGTTGAATCTAAGATTACTCATCTTTCTTAAAGCATATCCAATCATTAAATAAATTATATCACTATTAAAATTTATGATCCAATAATTTATTCATTTTATCTATTCCTTCCCAAATACCTTCTCCTGTTTTTGCACTACATCTCTACATTATTACTTCTGATTCCTGCTATTATATATCTTTATATAATTCTACAGGTGATGATCTTGGTAAATCTATTTTATTCAAATATATTAGCAACACTATCTATTTTAGATGACTTAATACTTTCTATTTTATTTCGCTTCCCAATTTTTTCAATTCATTTTTAACAATTTCTATTCTTTCTGAATCTGTTGTATCTATAACAAATACTAATCCATCTAAGTTTTCATAATAATGAGACCATAATGTTCTAACCTTCCCACCAACATCAAAAATTAAATAATGTCTAGCCTTAAATTAAATTGTTTCCACATTCAAACCTAATTTCAATTAGCAATACCTATTGTAGGCTAAGATTCTGTAAATTTTCCATTCTTCAAATATTAAAGTATTGATGTTTTTCCACTTCCTTCTAATCCTACTATTACAATTTTCAGTTTCTTAGAACTTTATAAAGCTATACTTATATCTTCTTCTTTTTAAGAGGAAGTAAGACAACCCATAATTAGAAAAAATATTAAAAATTTATTAAACTTAGATCAAAAATATATATTTTCCCTCTTTTATCCTTTATTAAAGTATTACGAAATATCCTATTCTAAACTGTTTAATTTACATTATTTAGATAAATGAATTAATAAGTAAATATATAATGTAGTAAATTATAGAATTAATTCTAATTATTTACTTTATTTGTATCATATATTTAAATTAGCTCTAAGAAAAGTATGGTAGATACAAAAATAAATTAAGATAATTGAAAATCTTAGTGATTTATATATCCTTAACTTTAAATATAATATTAATTCTTAATTAAGTGTGCAATTTTATTTATAAAGGTTTCAAATTGTTATTTAATTAGATCAGTTTAATTCAAAATAGTACTCTATTTAGAAAATTATTGAAAAATTCTAATGTTATTCATTAAAAATAGACGAATTATTAAAAGACATAAAATTACTTTTTACAAAAAATAAAAACTATTAAAACATAGTTTGGATATACCCAGCTTTCTTATCCATCTGTGGGGTGAGGAATCTAACTTACTTTCTAAGAAATTAATTCGAGCTGAGTGATAGTCTGTCAGTACCTTCAAAGCTATTGAAATATCTATTTAATTTATTTCAGAAAATTTTATTTAAGTTACATGAACAGATTCATATACTTATTTTAGTAAAGTTATTTTTTAAATATGGGTTGCAAATAGGAAAAAAAAGATGGATTTGAAGAAGCAATCATTTGCTAATCTTAATGTTATATTTATAAATAATTATAATAATTTGTTCAAGGGATATAAATGAGTGTACAAATTAAGCTAATCAAAAAATTATTACTATTAATTTTAAAATAAAAAATATGTCAGCCCTTTTAAGACAATCAGTGAGTTCATACTTATAAATTTTAAAATAAATTTCTTCATATATAACAAATAGATTAGATTCTATACTGGAAAAAAGTCACCATCTTAAAAATAATGAACTTTCCCTCTCAATTATATTGATAAGGAGTGTAAATAATAAGGGTTTTATATAATAAAGATAATTATTTAAAATAAAAATCTATTATTTTATTGGTTTATCATTATTCAATTTCAAAGACTTCACATTCTTCAATGTTAGGTTTATCTCCTCCATAGAGATATGTATTATTTCCTCCTTGATTTTCATTCCAAGAATAAGATTAACCTATATCAGAGCTTCCATTTATAAAATCAGTTGAAATATTTATGTCACCATTACTACCAAAATAAACTGCATATCCATTCTATTAACACCAGATAGCAGATTATTTATGCTCCTATTTCAATGGAAATATCTCATTTTTTGTATAAGAAAATATGAAAGAGCTTGCTGTATCATCAGATGCATATCCATTTAAATAACCATTAAATTTACAATTAGCATATCCTCCAAATATTGAATTACCAGGATTTTTAGATTTAAAAATAAATAACAAATTTTATTTTAAATTTATTTTACTCCATAATGCTTAAGAATTTAGACCATCTTTTGATCCAATATAAATTTGATTTATTTTATTTATCTTCTAATTAGTTCTTTATTCAATTAAACTTAACAGTTATTGTTAATAATCATAAGGAACTATATTTGAAAGAGGAGCATTAGGTGAATAAGTTAATCTTCTGATATACATATTTAGATCTAAAATTGATTATGATTACTATTAAAATTTCTATTAAATCTCTTTTTCATCTGGTAATATAATTCTATATAATTAAATTATTTTTTTACTCTTTTTTTTATAAATTCTTTGAATCATTTTCTTTTTAATTAATTATTTTTTTAATTATCTCAACACTATTCTTTTATAAATCTTCAAAATAAATTTATATCTTGCATTAAATTTAATCTTAAATATCTCTCTGTCCATTTTAATTTTATAATTGTTTTATGAGATTCCATAAATCATCACATTTAAGTTCCTAATTTATTAAAATAAATTACTTTTTTAACAATTTTTATAGTTGTCTAGGCTTCTTAAATAGCTTAATCTAATTATTATTTATATTCAATTATAAGTTAATCAATCCATTTTTAAAATTATCTTAATGTATTTTGCCATTATTGAAATTTACATTTTATTTGTTCCTCTGGAATAAGAGAATATTTATTGCTTAATTCTGTATAGTTCTAATCAACATTTGCCAAAATCGAAATAATTTTTTATGGATTATTTTATATCTAATGTGTTTATCAAAAATTACTTCATGCAATAATAAAATATTATCAAATGTTACTTTTCTTTTTTCATCTTGTAATCCAGCAACGCAAGCTGCACATGCTAGAACAGCACTATTTTTATTTGGAATCAAATATTATATCACATATTCTCTATGAATCTAACAATATGCTTCCTATTACATTCAAAAATGATTATTTTTTATAGAAAATTATATCAATTAATCTTAATTATATATTGAATGTTATCAATTATATTGATTTATAGCATTTATGAATATTCTTTAGATTTAAATCAATCCTGTTAAAATTTCATCCTTTATTGATATATTTTTGTTTTGTTTAAAATTAATAATGATAGTTAGTACATAATAAACAATAACTTTTAATTTATTACTTAAGAAATGTTCGAGAAAGTTTATTGGATATAAATAATAATTTAAAAGTTGTCAAATATTTTCTCTTTCAGTAATCTATATTATGTAGATTTAATTTTAAATTTATTTAGATAAAAAGATCAAAGCAAATAAGAAGTGATTATTAATTCATAAGATGTGAAAAAAAATAAAGAAATTAAAAAAAAGCAACAGGTTAAATCTGTCCATTTCAATAATCCTAACAAATGCCTAAAATTAAATAAATCTGAATAATCTAATTAAATTTCTAAGCAAGCAAAAGGAATACTAAATGATACAAAGGAAGTTTACAGAATCTCTTTTTCTTTCGAATTTTTTGGATAAATAATAGAAATAATTTTTACAATATAGAAGCATATATAATGATTTTATCAGATTTATTCAGTTATATAGCAGGAACCCTTTTTAGAGAATTACTTAAGCAAATTATAATAGTCAATTCCATAAGTAAAGGTGAAGTAATTTATATTAGTTTACTGATATTAATAATCAAGTTAATTATCCAACCTGGGGTTGCATTTTTTAATTTTTTTTTATTAATCTAATGATTTATTATAAAATAAAATTTCTCCATTTCTTAAAACTACTATAAATTAATGATCATTTTTTGGATTAAATTAAATAGAAAGTAGTTTCGAATTCATATTTATAATTTACTATTTATAAAGTATGAATTGATTTTGTTGTTTTTCAATTTAATAAATAATTGTTTCATTATTGTATAAAGTCGCTAGATATTTTTCATTATTAGAAAATTAAATGACTTAGATAGGATGCTAAACATAATGTGGAAAA